ACTCTTGTATGTCTTCTTTGGAAACAGTACAAAGTTGTTGATGCTGAGAAACTTCATCAGATTCTTCATGAAAACCTACTGAAAGGTGAGTGTTTTAAAAATCCTGTACGTTAAATATTTCTAGTTTATGCATCTTAAATTGCCTCATAAATCACACAAATGTGACCTGTATGTTTTAGGAAATAAAAACACTGAAGGATTTGGCCTGGATTCCTGCAGAAGTATAATTGCCATGTCAGATGTATCCTTAACTCACTTCTCAACCAAAAGGTTGAGCACATTTTGAGTCACTATATTTTATTGAGAGTACATAACTTAACTCAGACTTCATCTCTATCTGGCATCTGGTTGAGGTATATTATGCCCAAAAAAATCCACTAGATTTCACAATGTCAATCACATGGATGTCAGAAACAAATAAATCACCCCAGCCATGTGAATTGTTTTTGGTGAAATTTTGCAAGCTAAGCATATATTTTTTTTACATATTACACTGTAAGAGTCTTAGCTTTACAAAATGATGTTACTTGGTGCTATGAAAAAACTTTAATAGCTCAACCAAACAGTTGATTTGTCACCCCCCTTTTTGAGAATGGACATTACAATGCACTATTAAAACTTAGTTGTAATTCAAGTATGCTTTGGAATAAAGACCTAAGTTTAGAAAACTCTCAGCAGATTATTGCTGAAGTAAAAGCACTTCAAAAAATAAAAGTATGAAAAAGTTATGGAAGTTTTAAATTTACTTTATATCAAATATTCTGTACTAAATATTTTTTATTTTATATAAAATATATATTTTACAAAATATTTTTTCCTATAAAATTACTATAAAATCAAAGCCATACATCTAACCAAGTTGTGTTCCAAATTTGAAGTTGATAGCACAAAAATTGAAGTTCTCATGAGATTTTGTTTTGGCGTAATACCAAAAATCACATCAATTCCATTGAATTTAATTGTATGCATTTAAATTAATATTAATATGCATATTTATTAATATATATTATATTGTCCTAATATCACTTCTGTTACAAAATATGAAACCTTGAGACTTTTCTGACAATGTGTTTTGTCAAGACTAAAATAGGTTTTGATCATAAATTATGAAAAAGTATGGGAAAGTATGTGTAAGGGACATCTCAACCATTTGGTAGAGGACGATATTTTAAAAATTATGGGATGTGTTGAGAAAAAAAATACATTGAGTGTGGTTACTAGCGACGTACGAAGATAAGAAATGCAGACAAAAACATTTTTCTTGATGTGGACTTTCATTAAAAACTCAATGATGTGTGATTTATCCACATGGTTCAGATTGTGTTTCCAGTCATATTGTGAAGAAACATGTTTTGGCTCTAGAAATATTTCCTGACAATAAAAATAGTTCTCTGTCACCGGAAGACTTCGTGGATCAGAATTTCTTCGTCTGTGGAGCCGCATTATGATGTACAAGGTGAGTGATTTGGAATTTAGCTGAGATTGTTAATCTATTAAGACAAGAAACATGGCACTTACAATTTTTTTCATTATTTTTTTTTTTACAGAAAATCTTCTACAGCATGGATACTTCCAAAGATGGCGTTCTGTCTTTGAACGAACTGCAAAATGCATTAGAGAAAACAGGTTGAAGCTTATACAGTTTATACTTTTCTGCAGTAAAACATTGTAGACAATAATTTCCGTGGTTGAAAAGTATTCAATGTTTGCAACTATTTTTACAAACACTACTGGTGGTACGGTGTATCTCTATAGCTGCCCAGTGACCCCTAAAATTGAAAACAGAGATTTTATAATATAATATTTTCATTCACACATTGTATAGATCCTGTATTTATGTAATGGTTCTTGTGCCCTAGGCTTGCATCTAAATGAAGACATCCTGAGTCTCATGGTTGTGCGGTATGGTGGTGCCTCAGAACAGATCACTCTGGAGGGTTTCATTTGCCTTGTCATGCGTTTGAACTGCATGGCTAGTGAGTAACACAATTAGATGTTCTCTCTGGTTTCCTTATACAGAAAGCTGGAGCCTTTCCCAGTGCAAACACTCTCACTGCAACATCTATGGGCCATTTGAAACTTTTCAACTTAAAGGCACAATATGTAAGATTTTTCCGCCACAAGAGGGCGCAGTTTCCATCATAACACAGGCGTAGGTTGATGACGCAGTGATGATCTAATCATGTTTATGGATGAGTGCAAGCATTCATGTTTTCTAACATTACAGTGAGCAGGTCTCGATTGCTAAAGAGACCGATATCACACGCGAGTCCCGCGGATTTAAAGGAATAAGGACTTTTAATTGTACCGAACTACCTGCAAGTGCTGGATTACTCGCACAGGTCCATTTATTAGATGAATTATTAGATGAATTAAACTTCACCGCTTCATATGGTCTAACGTTACACTATCACACTAAACGGCATTTAAACGTGTTTAAAGTTATAACGTTATACTAACTTGCGTGTTAGCTTGTTTGCTATAGAAAATCATCATTAGAATAACATACTGACCATATTGTAACATTTCATCATGTTGAGCTAACATTGATTTGTTTCATGTACATTTGCTCACCTGTTTAATAAAGCCGACTCGTGAAGCTCTGTCGAGTCCAAGTTAGTCGCGGACGCTAGCTCTCGGCATCTCAAAAACGCCACGCTGATGTTGATCCTCGTTTTAGTTCTCCTCGTTTGTCCCAAAGTCTTTTTGACGTGGTCTCGAAAGACGCAAGAGCCGTGTGCCGCTAAACGTAACGCACTACGCAGTTGTCCACGTCTGTCGCCATGGTTACGTCATGGCTATGGCAGTATGAACGGAAATGGAGGATAGTGCGATATTGCGTCATTGGCGACGTTTTTTTTAAAAATTGGAATTTTTCTGAATTGAAAAATTCTTTGGAGACTTTTGTGATATTGGAAGTACACAATCTAACATCCATTACGTTTACTTTCAAAATTATTATTTATTCTCTGTCATGTACTCTTCTGATTGATTAATAGCCAGCTGATAGCCTGTATCCATAGTCGCAGTTAATATTATTAGGAATTTTAAGAAATTTTAATATATTTAGTACTGTGTATGCATGTTTTTTAGTATTATCATTATTATTATTATTTATATTGTATGAGTGATAGATATCTGTTGGAAATCTATTGTCTAAGCTACTGGATGCCTTAAATTTCCCTCGGGATAAATAAAGTATCAAACAAACAAACAAACAACTACAGGAAATATATCACAAGTGATTTTTGGATATTTTATTACAAAATTCTTACATATTGTACCTTTAACCAAGGTCAACACAGAAATCGTCTGAGCCACCGTGCCGCCCTAATTTGATGTTCAGGACTGTAAAATAAAATGTAAAAAATATATTTTTTAAGGTAAGCTACCAAGAGTTGTGTCACACAAAATTTGGTTTGACCCTTTCATGCTCCTGAAATAGTTTGAGGAAAATACACTATTTATTATTATTATTATTACTACATTTTAACAGTCTTTATTTTGTTCATCAGGAATATTCCAGAGACTCTGTGAAAGTGGGAAGATTTCTCTTAATGAGAGTGAGGTAATTCTGATTTTATTTTCCATATCTCCAACCACACACTGTACAAATGTTTAAAAACATTCTGCTTGATTTTATTTGTTATTTTTATCTTTAAAAATTTATAAATTTACAACCTATTTCTGTGTTTTAGTGGATTGGACTCACCATGTACTCATGAGGGAACGTCTGTTTGCCAACAAACGCAAGAACAGATCAGCAGTTTAGGCATTTTTTTATATCAAACTTATAAACAACTTGTATTGCTCATTCTTCATCCTTTTATCCCTCTAAGAATTAACCCTTATGCTGCATTAGGGACATTTTTGGTCTTTTGCAGTTTAATTTCTTTGACCATTTTGGCTGTTTTAATGCAAATGGTATGAAATTTGGCAAAATTGTGACTTTTTGGATACATGTAAAAAATGTGATCCCATTTTGCAAAATATGTATAACACACACTGTGTAGATCAAATAGTAACACTCGGCACCATAAAGACCAAAAATGGCCCATTGAAACCCATTAAAACGTTGTTTAAATCTGAGGCTGTCAGTAATACATGAAACATGATTTTTGCACAAACATCCTTTCATTTTGAAGCAAAAGCATTATATTTGCATTATATAGTGTATTCCACCAGATGACGTCACTACATATTTATTCCCTATGGGTGGAAATGCACCTTATTTTAGGCAAATAGGCAATGTTTAATAGGTGGCCATTTTTGGTCTCTAACGCGCTAAGTGGGATTTTTTGCAAAGTGGGACTGTGATAATCCAAATCTAAAGTTTTCTCTTTGCATTTAGTTTATTGAAAATAATTGAATTTTTGTGTTTTTTCCTCTTATACAAATCAATGGTTTCGCAAACAAAACTGGTAATTAAAGGGTTAAAATCCTGAAATTGAATACATGTTTGGTAGTTATGATGAGGACTGATGCTGGTTAAAAGATTTAACTTGGTAAAAGTGGAAAATAATAATAATATATAATATTTTAGGCAATGTTTAATATGTGGCCATTTTTGGTCCTTAATGCACTCAACGGTGTTAAAAATCTAATGCAGCACAAGGGTTAAAATGCTTTTGCTTTTCTTAAAAATATTATTTGAAATAGACATTTAACATGATCAATTTGTTTGTAATTCTGACATTGGTGCAAAAATAACTGTATTAACTGTCTGTTTTAAAAGTAATTCATGTAATGGATGAGTTATTTCTCATGTTAACCACAGTTGTCGTACTACGTTATCGTCAATACAAAATATTATATTACACATATAAAATGGTTTACTCCTAATTATTTACTGAATGCACACGTAAAGAAACATATCTTATGCCTCTTACAATTTGGTTCAGGTGATGTCTGTTCATCTAGCCACTGTACTAAACAAGATTGATTATTTTCTCTGAGTTTGCGAACAGTTATGTCAAAAACAATTCATGATTTAAGATGTGACTTTCAGAAAAATTGCTAAGCTAAATTAATTCTAAACTGAAAGTGTAACAAATGTTTTAAGTCCACAGGGCCAAATGTGCTCATAGTCATAATTCTCAAATACACACATATAATGTTTAGCCTAGTCTAGGGATTTTGCTTTTGACAGCATATTTCATATCTTACACAATTCAAAACAAGGAACTATTTGCTGTGAGACGACCATAAATGTTCACATGTTAAATCAAACTACCCTAAGTTCAAAGTTTCACTTTAGAAAAATTCACTGGATTCGTGACGGGCAAATTTTGTTACTGGAAGGTAAGTATCTCAAATTTAACCAATAATTACACTAAATAACTTAAGATATGCAGAAGGCTTGGCTTACGAATCTGAGGAAGTTTTCATGATAGTTTCGTTTGTATTGTATTAATGCAGCTGTGTAAATGTTTACAAAAACTGCCACGAAAAATAAAATATATTCTAATATAAGAGCTGCTATGATAATGCTCAAATGTCAAATTAATCACTCAATACGAACAGTGTATAGATATTTGTTAGAATCTTAAAATCTTTCCTAATTTGCTTCAAAAGTTGGGGCTAAACATTTTGAGGAAGATCTGAAGGCCATAGCAGAGAAAATGTTATTTAATATCAAATAAAATAAGAAAAACAATGAATTTGTGAGTTATATAAGCCAAAAATTATATGTTTATTACTGCTGCCAGTAAGTAATTTATATCTCATACTTGGGAAACAAACACAAAATCATGTAGCTTCGTTTTTAATGAAGATATTATAAAAAAGTTGAATGTGTGTGTGTCCTGGTGGGGACTTAATTGATCATCATCTTCTTGTTCTCCTTCCCTTCAACCTTGTGACAATATCTATATCTTAAATTAAAATAGTTTAAATATAAATGTTAAATAAAATTATTATTTATAGCCTAAAAAAGTGTATTTTCATATAAATATTTATGTTTCCAATTGAAATTAATTATTATCTGTGCCTAAAATCTAATGTAGCCAAACTGTTTGAGAATTCAGTGAAAATTGTTTTGATTGCTGAGACTTTTATCACTGAACTAATTTCAGTTCCTCTCGTTAGCGCATTGTCTCGAGGACAAGCCCACAACAGGGGAAGTGTCGTGAATATGAGTGGATACTCAAACCACTGGGATAGTTTCATATGGGAACTGAGAATTACACACAACTGGCTTCATGAAGAAAAATGAATGGTAGAAACAAATGAAATCAAAATCAATATAGCCTCACTCTTAGAAAAAAGGCTTTTGTCAAATGTCAAAGGACATTTTATGCTAAAAAAGGTTCAATAATGACAAGAAAGAACACTTTTGGCACAAAGGTTTTTTAAAGGCAATTATTCATTCACATATTACATTATTCTGCAACATTGTTTTATAGATGAGTCCATCCAAACCCCAGAAAAGGTAATTATACTCTTCCTTAAGTAGTTTTTATGATTTCTTAGATATTTGTGCAGTACTTACACAATTAACGTCAATAACAAACTGGATAATTCTGCAAATAAGAATATATGAAATAGCTGTAGGCTATGTGATGTGAAAGGATTAGTTCACTTTTGAAAAAACTTTTGCTGATAATTTACTCACCCACATTTCATCCAAATGTCCATGTCTTTCTTTCTTCAGTCGAAAAGAAATGAAGGTTTTTGATGAAAACATTCCAGGATTTGTCTCTTTATAATGGACTTCAATGGGGTCCAAACGGTTCAAGGTCCAAAAGACAGTTAATAACAGTTTCAGATGCAGCTTTAAACGACACCAGACGATGAATAAGGGTCTTATCATGCGAAACGATCGCTTATTTCAAAACTTATTCCTTTCTAAGGACAAATGCTAGCCTTGCTCTATTCTGTGAGGCGCGTTTGTAACGTCACGTAATACGTAATTACGTTCAAAAGGTCACGGGCGACGTAGCCGGAAGTACAGAGTCAGTGTTTACAAGTTGAACGCATAGGTTGAACGTGCAAACTAACTCAAACGCCGTTTACAAAAAAAGGAATTAAAAGGTAAAACAACGATGTCGGACGATTTTGATTCTGTACTTCCGGCTACGTCGCCCGTGACCTTTTGAACGTAATTATGGATTACATGACGTTGCAAACGCGCCTCACAATATATTACAAGGCTAGCATTTGTCCTTAGAAAGGAATAAGTTTTGAAATAAGCGATCGTTTCGCATGATAAGACCCTTATTCATCGTCTGGTGTCGTTTAAAGACATTTGAAGCTGCATCTGAAACTGTTATTAACCGTCGTTTGGACCTCAGTTGGACCTGGTTCCCATGGAAGTCCATTATAAGGAGAAAAATCCTGGAATGTTTTCATCAAAAACCTTAATTTCTTTTCGACTGAGGAAAGAAAGACATGGACATCTTAATAAATTTAAATTATCAGCAAAAGTTTTTTTCAAAAGTGAACTACTCCTTTAAATTGTGTGTCGCTGCAGTGGTTCTGTGAGAATCGAACACTCTCTGAACAAAAAGGAGAACGAGTTTGTATTCAGTAGGAGAAAAGATATTCTCCAAAGCCTGAAGAAGCTTCATATATACTGCAGTGAGGTAAACCCGTATTGCATGGGCTACTTTATCCTTTTTCTCACAAATGATGTCATAACTGCTAAACATCAAATGCTTGCGAATTCGAACTGGTTGTGTTTCAGGGTGAGGTGCCCAACATTGCCTTACTGGGATCTGGAGGAGGAGAAAGAGCCATGGTGGGTTTACTGGGATCTCTGGATCAACTGCAGAAAACAGGTCTTCTGGACTGTGTGCTTTATCTGAGCGGAGTCTCTGGATCCACCTGGTAACACGCACACACACACACACACACACACACGGGTTGAATGTCATAAATGAGAGCATATGTTGTTCTTCTGAAGGTGCATGGCCTCCTTATATCAGGAGCCAGACTGGTCCACCAAACTAGAGACTGTGAAAGACGAGATCATCCAGAGACTCAGCGGTCCTGCAGTCGGCTGGGGAGATGCTTATAATAAACTGGAGAAATATTACGAAGAGAAAGACATATTCAGCTTGACTGACGTCTGGGCAACGATGTTCATTACAACTTATTTGAAAGAGGTCTGTAACTATACATAATACAATCCTGCATTATCTTAATGAGCTGCTCAAATTCAGTCTATATGGGACTATTGATATGTGACACTAAAAATATGATTTTGACAGTGTTGTAGTACTCGAGACACGGACTCGTCTCGGACTCGGTCTCGAGACCATATTTTAATGGTCTTGGTCTTGTCATGAACTCGTGTCCATTTGGACTCGGAATTGACTCGTACTCGAACATTTTTTTTTTTAGGACTCGAACTTATTCCCGAGTCCACTCGTGTTCAATTAAAAATATTTTTCATGATTATTAATGTATGTTATTAAAATATTTCTTTAAATTGATTGACCCGCCCAGTGATTGGTGATTTTCTAGTGCGCAACTGCGCATGACAAATTGTAATAAAATTACTTTTAACACCACCTACTATGTGGCCTTTTTACCCTAAACTGATCATATTTTTTAAACTCTAAGTAAATTCAGTAAAAAAAAAAAAAAAAAGGATTTCTCTAAGTAAATAAAAGTAAATTAGGTAATCAACCCTCACTGGTCTCGGTCTCGACCGTCTCTGGTCTCGGACTCGACTCTCTCTGGTCTCGGTGTCGACTCGGACTCGAGTGAGGTGGTCTCGACTACAACACTGGATTTTGAAATATGACTTTTTCGTAATTATTAGCAGGGCAAACCATAATAGCAAGCAGTGATATCAGCTTGTCAAAGCTGTGTAAAATGCGAGAACATTTAATTAAATAATGAATAATTAAATAAAGAAATGATTCTCTTCAGATCGATGAACACACACTCTCAGATCAGTGGGACCAGCAGAGTAAAGACCCGTTTCCCATCTACACAGTGATCGACAAGCAATGCAAACAGAGCGAAGATGCAGGTGTGTGTGTGTGAGAAAGACAGAGTTAATGTGTTTGTTTCAGCTGATAAATGGATTTGTTCTCTTTCATCTCGTGTTCGAGATCCACCTATGAGCTCAGCAGAAGCATCCCAATTCACCTTCGGCTAAGCCACGCCCTAGAATGTAGATTGACCAATCACAGCGCAGCACACTTTTTGACAGAGCTCCATTGACTTTCAACACAGGCGTCCCATATTTTTGGTCTCGGCAGGCTATTACCGTCATAATTTTATCAAAAATATGGTTAAACGTTGTGCCTCGGACATGTGTAACACAGATACGCGTTTCCCAGAGGTTTTAGAGGGGGGTGTCCGTTTTTTTCCCTTCCCAAAACCGAAGTCAAATCCTGACAAGTGTCGTTTTTGGATTAACGTTAAACTGGACCCAGATAGCAAACTGACATTCAAAGTGGAAACATGACATCGAAACAACGTTGATCTGACATTGTTTTGCTCATCGAATTAACGTTGAACCAACGTCAGACGCGTCATTCTTTCAAAACAAACGGAAAATCAACTTGAAATCAACGTTGTTTCAACGTTATGAAAGCAAACCAATTTTCGATTTTCATTTAGCTTTGAAGAATGCCGCGTCTGACGTTGGTTCAACGTTAATTCGATGAGCAAAATCAACGTTGTTTCAATGTCATGAGAGACGTCGTTTCCATGTTGATTCATTGTCAGTTCTTAAGGTCATTTATCAATAAAAAAAAACTTTATTCAACAATTAGTGTCAGTTTCAAAACACATTCTCTAAGAACGGACACTTCCAGTTATTGGCTATTATTGGCTGAGCTGTGTTCGATGCCATTTAATGCTTTGTAACCACAGACAGTTGAAAGTCATAATAAAATGAGACGATGCGCAGCCAGCAAAGTTGCAGGGGTCGTACACCGGACGAGAAGCGACGCACTGCGTCTATGACAACTCGAGGTATCAAATGAATAAATGTAACAAAAGAGTACACAATGTGTTTGAATTTTAGGCTACGTCCACATTAATCCGGATACATTTGAAAACGGGGTTTTCGTTTAAAAACGCTCTCCGTCCACACTAGGATTTTCAGGTGTTTTCCGACGTTTCAGTGTGGATGAGAAACTTCTAAATTCACTTTACTGCGCATGCGTGAAACTTCACAAAAGCTCACTGAGATGATACAGATGGGAAAATAAATAATAATGTCATCGCACAATAACAGGATAATTTTATTTAGCAAAATATCTCACCATCACGGATGCGTCCAGGTCGCATTCAGTCACCATATGTTTGGTCTAAAACGCAACTGCTCTCCTGTTTTGACGGCAAATGTTTAGGGCTGAACGATTTTGGAAAATAATCTAATTGCGATTTTTTTAGCCAATATTGCGATTGCGATTTAATATGCGATTTAAAAAAAAAAGTTATTTACCTTTTGTATTAGTCGACAAAGACAAGCAATAAATCATTGTACAGTATGGATGGGAATCTTTAGATAGCTAATGATTCGATCTACTTTTTTTCTTATTAATTAATCTTAATAACTCTTAAAATATGTATTTAATTACATGTGTAGAAACACATACTTTAAAAAATAAATATAAAAAAAACATTTAATTAAAGCAATTACATGTTAAGAATTTTAAATAGGCTATATAAAATAATATAGCTTCAAAATATAAAAGCTAGTAAATAAAGAGAAACAAAAAAAAAACATTACAAGCAATAAAGAAAGAGTGCTCTCAGTATTTAAAAGTAGGCTGTCTGAATGTTTTTCATTCAAGAGCTGGAGTGATTTCCCCTCAGTTTAGATAAGCTACATTCACACTAATGCATATATCTCTTTTGAAATTGTAAATGTGGTTTGTCCTGTTGGTTTAAGATATAACTGACCGCGTTTACATTAATTTCGCGTCATAAAAGCATTTTGACATGAAAGTACATTTACCAATGAGTCGCTCACGGCCGCATGCACGAGCGCTCTTCACAAAGCACGCGTTATTATTTTAAAATGAAAGCAGCCTTCTCGGTGATTTTCATGGTTTTAATATACAAGCCAACTGCACTCCAAAAGACATAAATAATGCCTCTGTGAAGCATTTGTAAAGAAAATTCCCGCGGGAGAGAACGCGCACTGCAAGAGTAACGTTATAACATCAAGCAAAGCGGCAAAACCTGTTCAATGAAGCCCGCGAATGTCCTTGTAATTCGGTTCAATCCCGAACTTTATGAAATAACGTTACTATGTTTTGGAAGGTTCGAGCGGTGTCGTGTGTGTGAGTGGGGAAGAGAGAGAGCGAGAAAATAGAAGCAAGCAGATTCAGAATGCGGTTCGTTTCTAAAGCACGCGCAGCGTCATCACGCATCTGTGTTTAAAAACTATAAGCTCAGACTCGATTCTGAAATTCTCTGAATCGATCCAGGATTGTTGAGGAGAGGAGAGAATAAATAACACAATAAACTGTTCTTTTCTGAACGCCAGACCGCGTAGCGTGGGAAGTTGATGTTTTATCTTGCAGACTGCTTTTCTCTCGCGTGTCACGTGACCAGTATAATCGCAGCTCTTGCGATTACAAAATCGCGTTTCATCATATCGCGATTTTATCGCAAATGCAATTAATCGTTCAGCCCTAGAGTAGACTAGCCTACATTATCTGTTATCTTTGCTGTACTGTGCTATGAAGAATAGCACATAGTAAGTAACATAGAAAGTAACATATTTTAGCAACATCAGTGTAAAAATGAATAACATAACAGGCACAATACCGATAAACATGAATATCTACATGTACTACATGGTACTACATGGATCACATGACTAAACTTACGTCATCATCGTTTTGAAATACCTCCGGTTTCACTGTCCACACTACAACGCGAAAACGGCGTTTTCAAATTTATCCACTTTGGAGAGCGTTTTCCAAACGATACGTTTTTGTTGACTTAAAGGGTTAGTTCACCCAAAAATGAAAATTAAGTCATTAATTACTCACCCCCATGCTGTACCAACCCCGTAAGACCTTCGTTCGTCTTCGGAACACAAATGAAGATATTTTTGATTAAATTTGAGAGCTGTATAACTACCACATTGGCTCCTAAGGGACTGCCTCTTGACGGCCCAAAAAGTCAATGAAGAAAATGTTTAAATATCCCAAGTGACTACCGTGGCTCAACTATATGTTTATCAAGCGACGCGAATACTTTTTGTGCGAAAAAACAAACAAAAATAACGAGTTTATTCGACTATTTCTTTTCTTCCTTGTAGGCCAGAACGAGACTTCCTTATAGATTTCCACGACGCATGCGCGAGAATTGCGATCTGAAGTAGTGAAGGCTGGTGTGAGCAGATCGCAAATCTCGCGCATGCGTCGTGGAAATCTAAGGAATTCTCGTTCTGGCCTACAAGGAAGAAAAGAAATAGTCGAATAAACTCGTTATTTTTGTTTGTTTTTTCGCACAAAAAGTATTCGCGTCGCTTGATAAACATATAGTTGAGCCACGGTAGTCACTTGGGATATTTAAACATTTTCTTCATTGACTTTTTGGGCCGTCAAGAGGCAGTCCCTTAGGAGCCAATGTGGTAGTTATACAGCTCTCAAATTTAATCAAAAATATCTTCATTTGTGTTCCGAAGACGAACGAAGGTCTTACGGGGTTGGTACAGCATGGGGGTGAGTAATTAATGACTTAATTTTCATTTTTGGGTGAACTAACCCTTTAAAACGGCGTCTCAGTGTGGACGGAAGGCCAAAACGGAGAGAAAAATATGTTTTCAAACGAAAACGTATTAGTGTGGACATGGCCTTAAAGACATGGCGCTGCGCTTCTCGTCCGGTGTGCGCCCCTTTATATCTGCAAGGAGTGAATGAAATGAAGTGTTTGGTGGGAATGAATCAAGTGGAATGGATTTGAGTAGCAGCGTCGAAATCAATGCTGGAGCTAAAACGTGGAATGGAGTTTAATTTATTAGGGCATTACTCAAGTGGAATGGATTTGACTGACGGCACTCTGAAAAGTGAACAGACTGAGTGGGTCCAATATCATTGGTCTTAAAAAGTGGGTGGGTCTTGTCCCACCCATATACAATGGTTCCGACGCCCATGCAGTAACCTATTGTTTCTGTCTGCAGACCCCAGCTGGTTTGAGTTCACTCCATATGAAGCCGGTTATTCCCTCACTGGAGCGTTTGTGGAAACATCCAACTTTGGCAGCAAGTTTAAAAATGGCCGTAAGATCAAGAACCAGCCTGAGATTGACATGCTGTATCTGCAAGGTAACACACCCTGTTTTAAAGGAGAGTTTACTCATATTTTGTCTTTTGTACACTGTACATTGACCAGCATTAGTCTAAAATTAACAAATAGAAAAAGTGGTCTGTCAAAAATGAAATTTAAACATTACAGTTAGAAATGTTGAAAATCATTTTCATCAAAGCAATTTCACCAACACGAGGATAACATAAACCTTCTCATTACACAGTGATTTAAAGGAGAGATTCTTGACACTAAATGACTTTATACATTAGACTGTTGATGATACATGATAAAATCATACATTTAGTAAAATACAATAATTACAAATGTGTTTTCTGCAGCTCTGTGCGGCAGCGCTTTAGCCGACGGAGATGAGGATATAAAGTTCCTCTGGGAACTAATAAAAGGTGCAACTTCATTTCTTCTCAGGATTTAGTTCTGTTTAAAGTTGACAGTCGTTTCATTATCACGTGAACCTTAATTCCATATTAATCCCCCAGATTTCTTTCATCATTTGCTGCTTAAAAGAGAAACAGGGATGTTTGAGGAACCGAGTAAAGGTAACGCATTTCTTACAGCTTTATTTATTGACAAGTTGATCAATCTTTTGTGTCTAATGATCTGTTCATGAAAATCTGCTGATGAATAAAAAGTTAAACTAGTGAGCTGATGATTATCACCTGAAAACATCAATTTTGGGATGGAAAGACATTTAGCACATGTTTTTTCAATGTGTGTTTTCTTCAGAAGACAAATGTCTCCAGGTGCTCATGGATCTCGTGGACATGAATCTCTCTGTTCTGAATGGCATTGATCCGTCTGCTCTCGATGAATCCATCAGAATAAAGCTGAAAGGTAAGTGTATCTTTAATGAACACTTACTTAAACAAGCTAATTGATGAAACTAATATGGATACGTAAACATTCAAACACAAGATGCATCAGAAAACAAGAACTCAATCATGTTCCCCTCTTTCCCAGAACTCACTGAAGGCAAACATCAGCTGGTTATTCAAACGCAAAAACTGATTGTCACTGATAAAGAAGCTGCAAAACAGTATATGAAACAATTCACTGAGGATGTGTGCCATGATTTGAGTCATTACTGCAATTTCTTGTCTTTGGGTAGGTTAAACTGTCTTTACAATGTGTAGATTTGTATAATATACTTACTTTTTGATTTTCTGACCAGATTAATGCATAAACTGAATGTGCTTGACTCTAAGCTTCCATAAAGCTTCAATTAGCACCAACAAAACCGGTTTTAACAAACCTTTAGACATCCAATGATGTACTTTTAAATCTGAAGAAACTAAAAATCAAACATCAAAACCTTTTCTCCAAATAAATAAATAAATATTGTCAACTAAAACACGCTGTATACAGTATGAAAAACAATATCAGAGTATTTACTGAATTTAACCCTTGTGCATCAATTAAAAAAAGTTACACATAGGTAAAAAGAGGGAAAAAATATCCATGTCAGAAAAATGTGACACTTCGGAGCACAGACTTAAGTTTGGTGTCATTTTAAAGAAGACCCTTTGTTTATTGCTGAAGTGAAAAAATAATAATAAGTACATCCAAAAAAAGTTATATAGGTGAATATTATTTATAAAAAATATTTTACATAAAATCTATATTTTATAAATCAGGTTGAACTCAAATCTAAATAGGTTGTGTTCCAAATTTGAGGATGATATCTCAAAAAATGAGCTTTGGGAAACAGTTTGTTTGGGCGTAGTGACATATTTTCCCCATTGGGTGCCAGCAAAACCCCACTGGAGCTCACAGTGATTGGATTTGTTATTTGCAGTTTTTCTCTCTCAGTCTTACAAACACACACACACATTTTTTTTATAACACACTCTGACATCCATACCAACACATCCACACAAATATTGTTGCATAATTTATCCAGTTGGCTCTATAATATGCCGAAGCAGAAAACAGGAATAAAGCGATATTTGTTTTATAGGTCAAACTTTAAAAAAAAATGGCACCATCTGATAAAAATAGTAAAAAATAAAACTTTGAAGCCTTGCCATCAGAATGAAAGCCTCTTAACAAAGATTGCATAATTTTATAGTTAACTGAACCGGGGATTAAAAATGGGGACATTTTTGTCCAAAAGGTGCTGAGAGGGAGTATTTTTTTGTACCTAATGCAAAAAATATTTTTTTAAGAAAATGACGGTGAAATAGTAAAATTCCAATAAAAATACACACCTGTGCCAATTTATTTGCCGTTAGCTTTAACACAGGCAAAGTGATCAAAACAAAACTGAAAAGGTCAAAAATGTCCATTAGAGACAGATGGAAATGCTTTTAACAGAGGACTGAAACAATGGCTGAAAACTAAACAACAGTGCTCACATGTATAGTCTATTACTAATACTTTCTGATTCTGATACTTGCTGTTTTTATTTTTTATTTACTTATTATTATTTTTTTTTTTTCCCTTGTAACTGTATTTTATTTTATTTTCAAAAGCCTCACGTGGACAGGTGTTGAAAATTAGCATGTATGCTATAATCACTAAAAACAAATGCATATGGCTCGTCCAATGTAATTGTATGTCCATGTCAAATAAAGATATAAATAAAAAATAAAAAAAATCTCTATGTATTTGTTTTACAGGTCTTTGGCTGAGTATTATAAAATGCATGGCTCAGTGGATCTGGGGCAGGAAATATGACTTTCTTCACAACATGAAAGGTGGGAACAGAAACTCATACAGATTCTAGCTGGACATTCATTATGAATATAATAATAATGCTGTTGTGATCTCTCAGATAAAGCAGTGCCCGCTGCTCTTCAGGAAAGTGAGACGAGAGACTATGAAGACGGTGGACTGTTGCTGAACTCGCCCTATTTCTCAGTGCTGAGAGAAGAGAGAAACATCGACCTCATCATTTCACTGGATTTCAGTGACGATAATGATCCTTTCACGGTATCATATATACGCACAGATAATTCACTCATACACTGTAAAAAAATATTTTCATGATTTGTAATCACAACATTTTTTATTTTGTCAAATCAACTTAGATAATTTATGTAGTTCAGATAACATAGTATTTTGAGTTTCTGGTGATTAAATTAATCTCCTTCATTGTATTAACCTTCTGATGGTCCTCAGTCACTTCTGACCGAATAATTTTCTGTTTTGAATTATTAAAAATCACAGCTTCATCAGAAGGTTATGATACTTGGTGACTTTTTTGGCATTTGGTATGTGAATACAAAAAAAAAATTGAGGCCATGATCCAATCCGAGCATGCTAAGTGGTCGTAAAAAGAAAATAGTCACACTCGTGGTCTTCGGTCAGAAATGACCGACCCATCGGAAATGAATGGGAAATCGACAAAAAAACAAAAATTCTCTGAATTTTTGTTTGTACAATCTACAAATCGGCCACAATTCTTAAAAGAAGTACACCGCAGAAAAGGGGTGACACTCTATAACATCAAGAGTGCAAAAAATTTACACACACACACACACATATAAACACACTTTTATACACATACACACCAATAAATTCAGACTACAAAAAATCTGTTTTGAATTATTAAAAATCACAGCTTCATCGGAGTGTTACGAAACCTGGTGACATTTCTGACATTACGTATGAGAACACACACACAAAAAAATTGAGTTCATGATCCGAGCAGGTTAAGTGGTCGTAATAAAATTAGTCAAGATTTTAGTCTTTGGTCAAAAATGACCCAATGAATGGGAAATTGACAAAAACACAAAAATTAGCACATTTTTATTTATTTATTTACAATTTTTTAATAAGAAATACTTTTTGAGATTGTTTCAATTATATATTCATCCACCAAAAAAAATGTGTTCATAAACAGCTGGGGAATTCACATGCCTCTCCATAGAGAGCTGTACATGCCATCTAGTGGTCACACCATGATTCTACTCTTTTTCTCTATACTGTAACCAGACGGTGCTAATTTTCTTCAAAAAATATTTTTTTCTGAAGGCCTAGACTCTATATTAAACAAAAATACTGCATTAATAATTAAAAAAATATAAATATATATATATATATATATATATATATATATATATATATATATATATATTTCAATAAAAAAAATTGATCATAAATATTGCATAAATATTAATAAATTCAATCAAATTGTCTCAAAATACTAAATGAAAAAGAATAAATATTATAGAACAAAAATAAATTGCACTGGTTTTACTGGGATGGAAGAAGTTTCATTTTTAGGCCTCCAGTCCAGTCACTTCTGACCGCGAAGGCCCAGGACGTGACTCCTAAAGGAAGACCATCACAGGGTTAACTCAATTTTTCCATTTCAATGAACTTAAAAATGTAAGGCAACCAGGTTACTTAGTTTTTTAAGTTAAACCATGTAGAAATTAATGTAAAGAAATAAATCCCCTAGAAATGTACTCCCTCATGTCGTTCCAAACCCGTGACGTGTTCCTCCTTTAAAACGAGGAGATTTTTTTTAAATAATCTTGCTGCTTTTTTTTTTCCTCATGAAATTCATAACCACCAGAATTCACATTAACCTAAAATGTAAAGGATTTTAAAAGACTTTAACAGATAATTACAAATATGTTTTACCTTGTAACCTTTTTAATCAAATAATAATGAGCTGCGTTTCCACTGCAGACGGTGAGGGACGCTGCTGAGACGTGCAAGAAACTAAACATCCCTTTCCCTGAGCTCAACATTCCCATTAAAGACATAAAAAAACCGAAGGACTTCTATGTGTTCAACGGCCAAAATGTTCCAACCGTGATCCACATCCCTCTCTTTAATGTGGTCAACTGTGGAGGCAAGTTATGATCTCACAATATCCTGACTAAAACAATACAATGTTCTGATTTAAGTGTGTTAATGTTTCTTCAGATGATTTTGAGGAGTGCAAGAAAAAATATGGCACTTTTCAAGGTCCCTACACTGCTGAGATGATCCCTGATCTTATGGAGATCGCTGGAAAAAACATCACAAACAACAAAGAGAAACTGCTGGAGCAGATTCGTCTGGCCATGCGGCCCAAAAATACACAAAATAATGAATAATAAACATTGTGAGATGAGGTGGCAAAGTCCTCACTTTTTGATTTAATGTTTTTTTTTTTAATATATAAATTCGTGTTGCAGTTACATTAAATATCGACACATTTTTGACACATGTGGAATGTGAATGAAAATGAAAGGCGGGATTTATTGTGTGAACAGAGCAATATAGGCCAATCAGACAATATTCACATCAGCGTCATCTTTTGATTTTTCTCTTCAGTGTGTTGTACTGTTACTTAATGTGTTTTTGGGTTGGGTTAGGAATCTCTCTCTGCAGATTCTGCAAGAAATTTCATCAGTCAAAAAAAGATTATAAGTGATATAGATTATATGTGGGAAAGTTAATAAGCGACTGTGGCTCAGTGGTTCATGTAGGATGTCTACAAAGTAAACTGGTGGTTCAATCCCCAGTCCATGAGCAAGACACCTAACCCCAGCTGCTCCCGACTACCTAGATGGCGCCTTGTATGGCTGACACCGTCGTCGGTGTATGAATGGGTAAAAATGAGGCAAATTGTAAAGCGCTTTGGTGGCCATTGTGTCTGTGAAAGTGCTATATATAAATCCAGTCCATTTACCATGATATGGAAGAAAAGGATTTTGTTTTGAAATTCTGCTGCTCGAATCCGATGTTCGTGGCTCTTTTTGTCCTTCTTGGACAACCAAACCAATCACAGTCTTCAAAAGATTGTGTCATACATTGCAACTGGGTCAGCTCCTCAATAAGATGAACATTTTTGTCTTTTCCTTACTCAGAGTTGCTCTCAGATCGGTCCTGAATCGCTCTTAAGCTAAGACTCCTACGTTAAAGTTTTTAAGCTAAATTAAGAGTTTTCTAAAAGAGGATTCTTTGAGTCTTTATGAATACGGGCCCTGGTTTTTAGTTTAAAATGTTTTTTGTTTTTGTTTTTTTATGTTTTTTTTACATTATTCTGCAATTTTCTGATGTCAAAATTATTTAGTAAATTTTTTGGGAATTTTTTTTTTCTAATTACTTTTATTTATTCTATTCTACTTGTTTCCTTAATCAATTAAATGTATTATTATTAACATATTTTCAATGGCTTTTTTCTTGTTGTTGTGGTTGTTGTTTTTTTTGCCCCACTGTATTTGTATTATTTGTATTTTATCATTTCTAATTCATGCACCAGTGGTAGCATCAAGCTGAATTCCAGTCTTTAGGTGTGTTCGACATCGCCTGCGGCTGGATGCAACCGATCGGCGAGAACAGCCGCGTGCAGGCGGGGAGGAGCTGCAAACGGAGACGTGAAGTCGGACAATTTCTGGTTCCCGTAGTGACGGCTCACGTGTTGTTTGCATGCTTATACCACAGCAAAGTGAAATAAATGCAACATTTGCCAAATAAACAGATATTTCAGACACATTTTCATTTAATACTTTACTGCTTCATACAGCATCTGTTTGAACTAGAATAAAGTTCAAAATAAGCCTATAATCAATGACGTGGAATCAACGTTTTTTAATCAGTTTTATTTTGATAAACATGATAAACATGACACAATATAACATTGCGACTACATGACAAGAGTGTTTACTGTTATAAAATACTGATTTGTGAGCTTTAGTGGAACTAAAGGTGTGAGAATAAACACGAAACGCACGTGATCGTTGTCATGCGGTGAATCCGGCGAATCGTGGAACAGCTGTGACATCATCAGAGCTCATGCAGCCGCTCTTGAGAAGCTGCGCTGGCTGAGTCCTCCGGCTACTCTCGTATCGCTCTCGCGGTACTTTGATGGCATATGTCACAGTCACGTGGAGTCAGCGCTGCATCAAGTCGGACAAAATTTCTAACCGGCATGCACTGTTTCAAGTCAGCCGACGATCGGTCTGCGCAGAGCTGCATGAAGTCGAACAAGCCTATTAGGTGTGTTCGACATCGCCTGCGGCTGGATGCAACCGATCGGCGAGAACAGCCGCGTGCAGGCGGGGAGGAGCTGCAAACGGAGACGTGAAGTCGAACAATTTCTGGTTCCCGTAGTGACGGCTCACGTGGTGTTTGCATGCTTATAGGCTACCACAGCTGAAGTGAAATAAATGCAACATTTGCCAAATAAACAGATATTTCAGACACATTTTCATCCAATACTTTACTGCTTCATACAGCATCTGTTTGAACTAGAATAAAGTTCAAAATAAGCCAATAATCAATGACGTGGAATCAACGTTTTTTAATCAGTTTTATTTTGATAAACATGACACAATATAACATTGCGACTACATGAAAAGAGTGTTTACTGTTATAAAATACTGATTTGTGAGCTTTAGTGGAACTAAACGTGTGAGAATAAACACGAAACGCACGTGATCGTTGTCATGCGGTGAATCCGGCGAATCGTGGAACAGCTGTGACATCATCAGAGCTCGTGCAGCCGCTCTTGAGAAGCTGCGCTGGCTGAGTCCTCCGGCTACTCTCGTATCGCTCTCGCGGTACTTTGATGGCATATGTCACAGTCACGTGGAGTCAGCGCTGCATCAAGTCGGACAAAAATTCTAACCGGCATGCACTGTTTCAAGTCAGCCGACGATCGGTCTGCGCAGAGCTGCATGAAGTCGAACAAGCCTTTTGACTGGGACATGACATCATTGATTCAGCCAATAGGGTGAGTTTGGGGCGGGGTGAACGGTGCATCATCTCTCGCTCTCTCTGGATTGTCCAATCAGCATCCAGGACCATAACTATCAGTTTCATAATAATGAGCATTTGCACTAGGCTTGTTTGAGATGCGCCTCGCCTCGCCTGCAATGTAGTCGAGAGTAGGCGGCTGCAGTGAGGGGAAGAGTGAAAAAAGCGCAATCAAGCCGGACAGATCTAGGGTTCTCGCAGTGAATCAGACACCTGTGAGATCAAAGGCGGATATCGCGGGATTAACGGGATTCACGCTCGTGCACGTGTTGCTAATAAACTGGATGTGATTTAAGTTCTGTTGCTTTTATATAAAAATAAATAAAATGTAAATAAAACCCAAAGTACTTGTTATTTAATAACATTCCAAATAGCCTATGGTTTATCAATCTTTTTTTTTCTTTAATACAGACGTGTTTTTATAGGCTATAGCCTATTGTTTTAACAAAAATGAAATATAACCCATATGGCACTGTCAGAGAGTTTATTCACCCATAGCCTATGTATACACATAAAACATGATATCAGTTTTAAAATCAAACATTTTAAAAGAGAACAATTCATCTGGTGTTCTTTTATTTTTATTTTTTTTTACTTTTTTATTAGAATGCAAGTTACAAACATAGCCTACCTACAAGCACCACAATTCGTGAAATAAATAGGCCTATTATACAGCGACAAATACATAAACATCAGAATAAAATTAATAATAAAATAAATAAATCAATCAAAATAAGCTTAGCTTAAATAGACAGACTTACAAACTTCATCATCTATAAAATGAGAGCTATTTTTCACTTGAACATTTTAGAGTAGGCCTAGTATATTTGAGTTACTGACTATAGCTTTCTTATTTTTAACCCGTTTAAGAGATTCACAATATAGATCAGTTTCAATTTGAAAAAAATATATAAATAAAACATGGCCTTGATTTGGAGAATTTAGCTTAATGAATATGGAATTTACCTTCATCACTGTTGTTTAAACCAATGAGCATTAAGCTGTGTCGTCAGCAAGTCGTTTCCCATCATGCTTTTGATCAGCGCAGTCGGTGGAGAGCAACTGCGCGCGACTGCAGAATCCGACCCTTCCGCCTTGCGCTCGCGAGAGTTTTTTGACATACGTCGGCATGACATCAGAGCCAGGCGGACCGTTCTCGGACACATTTCTAACCGGCATGCATCTCGCGCTGATCACCGGTGATCGATTCTACGCAGAATTTGCTCATCTCAAACAAGCCTACTGTTTGATATGAAATGACCAGGACAAAACCATATTTGTAGAGAATGATTTATTAATTAATTGGAACAGGCAAAGTAATACAATATTTTAATCAGCAATCATAGCTGTAAATCAGTCTGTGTTTGGTTGATTTGATTATTATGTAAGAATGACAACTAGTGGTCGAAATGACCACACGCAACAGGAACGAGCGAAATGGACAATGAAAAATGGCAAATTGGCAACGTGCGGTATCACAAACCAACACAAACATTCCAGCCTGGAAACGCACATTTCTAAGTAAAATAACTTGCTATAAAAATGTTTTTCGGAGAAACGAGTATGTGAACTTAGCACGTTTCCCAAACATTATTGTATGTTTATGCTTTAGTAGAGTGAAAAGGTTACATACCGCACCAGCTGTTTATATGAACAGACACATGCAAAAACTATTCAACATTTTGGCCTATTGTCCTGTCCAAATGTTTTCATGCACATTTCACAAGCGTCCACAATAATTGAGATTAAAACAAACACTGAGGACTTTGCCACCTTGTTTCAGAAGCTGCACACCTCTGATATTTATTACTCAGCTTTGGTGTTTTTAATGGCCAGATGAATCTGCTCCAGCAGTTTCTCTTTGTTGTTTGTGATGTTTTTTCCAGCGATCTCCACAAGATCAGGGATCATCTCAGCGCTGTAAGCACCTTGAAACGTGCCATATTTTTTCCTCCACTCCTTAATTTTATCTGAAGAAACATGAACTTAAATCAGAACACAACTGATATTTCACTTTTATTCAGGATATTGTTAGATCATAACTTGCCTCCACAGTTGCCCACATTAAAGAGAGGGATGTGGATCACGGTTGGAGTGTTTTGGCCTTTGAACACATAGAAGTCCTTCGGTTTCTTTATGTCTTCACTGGGCACATCGACCTCAGGGAAAGGGATGTTTCTTGTCTTGCACATCTCAGCAGCGTCCCTCACCGTCTGCAGTGGAAAAGCAGCTCATTATTGTTTGATTAAAATGGTTAGACAGACATTTTGGGCTCTATCTTGCACCCGGCGCAAATGACTTTGTACGCATGTCTCATTCCTATTTTGCACCCGTGCAAAGCGGGCTTTTCCCTCCACAGACGCACGTCACACTGTAAAAAAATATTGATGGTTTAACTTAAATATATGTTATCTGAACTAAATAAATTATTTAAGTTGATTTGACAAAAGAAAAAAATGTTGTGATTACTAACACTGTAAAAAAAATATCGTTGGTTTAACTTAAAAAAGTAAGTAACCTGGTTGCCTTAAAATTTTAAGTTGATTGAACTGGAAAAAGTGAGTTAATACAATGAAGGAGATTAATTTAACCATCAGAAACTCAAAATAATAAGTTATCTCAACTAAATAAATTATTATAAAGTTGATTTGACAAAAGAAAATATGTTGTGATAACAAATCTTGAAAATATTTTTTACAGGGAGCGTGCATAATGCAGTTAACATGGAAAAACTAGTTTGCTTTAGTGCAGAATATACTGATCAAGATCAAGGCTGTTAAAATGAAAGTGAGCCGATAAGTGGTCTTCTACACTGTAAAAAGTAATAAGTTGACTTTACTAGGAAAAGCTGTGGAAACTGATTGCCTCAAAATTTTCAAGCAAATTAGGTCATCATTTTTGAGTTGATACTACTCTCTACTTCTTTGTAGAGTTAACTTGTGTATTTGTAGAGGTTACCATAAAACTTGAGAACAGGTAACTTAATAATCTCAAGTTAAGGCAACTTACAGATTTAAGTTGAGATTTGTAAGCAGAACTTACACAAAACAGTTAATTTAACATGTCTGCTTGTTCTACTTACTAGAGGAATGTGTGGAAACTGATTGCCTTAAATTTCTCAAGCAAATTGTACTCAAAATTCTGAGTTGAGAATACAAAGAAAGACAACACATTTGGCAAACCACTAGAATGTTTATTTGTTCAACAACAATATGTTAAAACATTACTGGCCCGCCAACAACATTTTAGAAATAAAGCACATAATGCACTCAAGAAAAAAAAACAAAGTACTAAAGACAATAAAAACAATGTTTCTTTGTTTTTAACATCTTTACAAAGTGGTTGAAAGCAGAGCATGCAAGTCACACAGTTTGGTACAGAATTCCTTTCCTACTACAGTTCTCTTTAAAATTCTCTTCTTATAAAACTATTCCAAAACCAAACAAGTAACATCCTTTTAAATAAGGATTTTTTTTCTTTCCTTTTTTCTTTTCAACAATTGAAAAACAGTGAAGTATCTATAAAACAGTACTGAACAATTTTCTTTAGAGTTCTCTTAAATGAACACTCCACTGTTTTATTTCATATTAAGGGATAGTTCACTTTGAAATTAATTTTTGATATGTTGTATCTTACTTCAAGGGCATCCAAGATGTAGGTGTCTTTGTTTCCGCAGTATTTTCAATTTTGATATTTTTAGGTCAAAGCGTTCTTGTCTGTCAGTCACATAATGCAGGTCTATGGTCACCACCACAAAGAGCATGCACAGAGAAGTCAAAATTAAACATGATTTAATGACTCGTAAATGTAAGTACACATTGATGGCCTAAGACACGAAACGAGCGGTTTGTGTGAGGAAACGAACAGTATTTATATCGTTTTTACCTCTTGTTAACAGCCATGTCCAGCTGATCTGGATCAGATGTCCAACTGAACCGTATTGAACCATGTCCAACGTTCTGCAAGAAGTGATCTCGCGCGTCTACGTCACGCATTGTTTACACAGAGATTTACCTTTCACTAAACATATTTAGATATATCGAAATCATTTTTTATTGCGATTTCCTGTATATCTAAATATGTTTAGATCTTCACAGTGAAAGGTAAAACTTCCGAAATCTCCGTGTAAACAATGAGTGACGTAGACGCGCGCGAGATCACTTCCAGCGGAACGTTGGACATGGTTCAGTTCGGTTCAGTTGGACATCTGATCCAGATCAGTTGAACATGGCTGTTAACAAGAGGTAAAAACGATATAAATACTGTTCGTTTTCTCACAAACCGCTCGTTTCTTGTCTTAGGCCATCAATGTGTACTTACATTTACAAGTCATTAAATCATGTTTAATTTTGACTTCTCTGTGCATGCTTTTTGACGTGGACCCCCTAAACATCCATTGTATGACTGACAGACAACGGTTTGACCGAAAAACGTAAAAATTGAAAATACTGTGGAAACAAAGACACCTACATCTTGGATGCCCTTGAGGTAAGATAAAACATATCAAAAATTAATTTCAAAGTGAACTATCCCTTTAAACTATGTTATTTCCTCACAAAGACGAGTTGATACATACCTCTCACGTCTCAGTGCGTGCACTCAATCGCTTTAGCGCGACACGACACATTGATAGCACTTAGCTTAGCACAGTTTATTCATTAGGATCCAAAAAGAGATGAAGTTAGAAGCGACCAAACACCTCCACGTTTTCCCTATTTAAATACAGTTACACGTTGGTAAGTAGTTACATGACCGAGAATGGTGTATGATTACACCAGTGTAAAATGGATAACTATAATGTATGGCGGAATAGCACTTGAGAGCACTTTGACTTGGCGCAGTAATATCATCACTCCTAAAAAATCCTCTCATCATCAGTAGTGATGATATTACTGTGCCAAGTCGAAGCGCTCTCAAGTGCTATTCCGCCATACATTGTAGTTCTCCACTTTACACGCTTAGAAAAGCGGCACATTTTATTTTGTCACCATACTTGGTCGTATAACTACTCGTGTAACTGTAATTAAATAGGGAAAATGTGGAGGTGTTTGGTAGCTTCACTGCTTGGATCCTAATGAATGAACAGGGCTAGTTAAGGGCTATCAAAGTTTCGCTGCACGTCAGAGAAATTAAGTGTACGGCGCACTGAAACGAGAGAGGTATGTAACAACTTGTCTTAGTTAAGGGAATAAAATAGTTTAATATAAAAAAAATGGTGGAGTGTTCCTTTAAAGACAGCTCATTGCTTGTGGAAGATTTTCAAGATCATCCACAACCACTGTACCTTTCAGAATGATTGCCGTTGTTGTGGCATCAAGATGCAGGGAGTAGGGTATGGCAGCGGTTGCAGACGATTCGGGAATCACTGTCAGAACTCATTTCAATGTTGGACATATCTTCATTGTCATCACAGTCCTAAAAATAAGAATAGCATATAACAAAAATTAGGTCATAGAACAAGACATATTTTAACGGAACACTCCACTATTTTTTCATATTAAACTATGTTACTCTCTTTACTAAGACGAGTTGATACATACCTCTGTCGTCTCAGTGCGTGCACTCAATGGCTCTGGCGTGCGGAGACACTTTAACACTTAGCTTAGCCCAGTTTATTTAAACAGAGAAGCGACCAAACATCTCCACATTTTCTCTATTCAAATGTGGTTACACGGCCAAGTATGGTGACACAAAATAAATATGGCGGTGTTTGGTCACTTCTAACTTCATCTCAAATTGCATCCTAATGAATGAACTGGGCTAAGCTAAGTGCTAACAATGTGTTTTCCATGCACCAGAGCGATTGAGTGCAGGCACTGAGACGAGAGAGGTATTCATCAACTCGTCTTTGTTAAGGAATAACATAGTTTAATATGGAACAAAATGGTGGAGTGTTACTATAAGGGATAGTCCACTCAAAAATTAAAATCTTGTCTTAATTTACTCACCCTCAAGTTGTTATAAACCTGTATGAGTTTTTTTTTTTCATCTGCTGAACTGAAAAGAAGATATTTTGATGAATGTTGGTAACCAGACTGTTGAGAGTAGCCATTGACTTCCATAGTGGGAAAAAAAACTATGGAAGTCAATGGCTAATCTCAACTGTTTGATTACCGAACTTCTTCAAAATATATTATTTTGTGTTCAATATAAGAAAGAAACTCAAACAGGTTTGGAATAACATAAGAGTGAGTAAATAACAACATCATTTCATTTTGGGTGATCTATCCCTTTAAGAGCACATAGTCATTAAAATATGAAACTAAATTAACCCTTTGTGTCTAAATGTAAAGGCCTTTTCAAAGAGGACACAGCAGTGAATCCAGGGGGAAAAACATTCATCAAACCACTGCATGAAAAGACAAATAAAACTGATGGCCGGTTATATAAATTAAAACTAATATAAAATGTATCTTCTAACTGTCTTTTTTCTTCTAAACTTTATTTATCTTTCACTTTCTTTTCTCCAACCCTTACTTTGTTCACTGTCCTGACAGTTTTTCATGCCTTTCTTCTTGCCAGATATCAACTGTTGAAGAACAGTTAGACTGTTAAACAAGAATCACATCAGAGATGAAAATACTTACAAAAGATGTCTTGTAAAAATCATGGTGGTCCTCCTCGAAAAAGTAGTGGTAGGCCATGTGAAGAACGCTGTTCGTTCCGCATTGATATGGATTCTGCAAAGTTATAAAAATGTATATTGAATAGCACTCGGTACTAGCAAAACGTCAGAGCAAAAAACAACAGTAAAAGCAACATATGTTTTGCAATCGAGACATAATTGTGATATGTCGATGAGCTTACGTCATTTTGAATCTGCTGCAGAATCTTAAGTTTGGAGCCAATATCTCCCAGATTTAGCCTTGAATTTATTGATGAAACGTTGAGCGAATCTGTCACAAAATAAAGACAAAATAAGGTAATAACTGCTTGTTAGTTACACTTCTTAATTAATGCGTCATGTAATTAATTTTCATGTGAACGACACGTGAGCATTGAACTTTCTAGAAAGAGGAAAGTTACGTTAGCTGCTATCTAGGCCGCACAGCCAGGTTTTTTACATTTTAGACCCCAAACCAAACTTAACGAACTACAAACTGTAACTAATATAAAACACGTGTTCAGTAAAAATCGTTTTTTTAATCTAGTATTTATGCCGCTTGTCTCAACTGGTCTCATTCGACATAAAAAACTAACGTTACTTCAGTGTGTCTTTTCCTCTTACTGCACAATGAGCAAAATAAATTCTGTTTTTAAGCTATACAAATGACATTAAAGTTGATAAAATAGTTGTTCAAGAGGCTAGCATACCTAGTTTTGCTGCGCATCCATTCCCGAACACGAGCTGAAGTCCCTCGTCGATGTCGTCTCGTCTTGACGTCTTCCTCAAGTTCAACCGTCCAATTGCGCAAATGCGCATGCGCGAGTTGAAAAAAAAAAATATATACGAGTTGTTTCGTCTATATGCTGAACTTAATTACCACAAAGTAAATGTATAAAGATTTGTTACTAAAAATATAAAGGACTGTGGAAGTAGCAGCGATGGGCTTGCTTTTTTCTTCCCAGTTATTTTTTTAAGCGTGCAGGAAAAAAAGATTCAGAACCTATTAACTATATATTACCTATTATATATTTTCAAACTAATTGTATGGTATTTACTAAAATTTGTTAATTTCACTATTATTATTATTATTACTATCCAAATTGTGCTCCAGAAATTTTCAACAGTGTGAAATGCCTTTAGTACAATACACTTACCAAACTTAAGTACAATGTACTAGATTTGTTTAGTTTGACTATTGCATCCACCTAAAAGTTCACAGTACACAGTGTATCAAGTTAAATCAACTAAGTTTCTAAAGTAAGTTAAATCACTAGTTTTCTTAAGTAGAATCAGCAATTACTTTT